GGTAAAAATCGTTATAAAGTTGGTGTTACAACAAAAAAAGATTTTTTATTACTTTGGAATTGTAAGTGGCCAAGAGATATGAATAAAATGGATATTGAAATAGAAAGACCTCGAGTTTTACCTGATTCATGTGCAGTAGTTTTACGTTATGTACCAACAGATTTACCAAGAGAATTTGTTATTCAGGAAATATTAAAATCAATTAAATCAGCTGTACAATTTTCAAAAATAAATTATCATCGTCCTAGAGCTACAGATGATTTTAGATTTTGTATTATCGACGAGAATGAATATGAAGAGGTATTAAGTATTGGTCGTTTAGCTATTGGTCATGTACTTTTACCAATAACTGCATTTATACCTGGTCTTAAAATGACGTATTGTAATAATTGTTGGGAGTTGGGCCATACTCGTTATCAATGTAAAGTTGGTCCACGCTGCCGAAAATGCTTAGATTCATGGAATTATAATCATACATGTCAAAAAGCAGTAGTATGTGCTCAATGTCAAGGTCCACATGCTTCTCTTAGTACGGAATGTCCAGTAGTTTTACATTATCGTCGTACATTAAAAGAAGAAGTAAATAATGCAGTTAAGGATGGGTGGTTAAATCAGGGCAAGGTGGACAATAAAGGTGGTGCATGTAATGTTGGTGGTGGTGAATTAGATTATCCAGCACTTAATCTTAAACCAACAAACAAACCACGTTTAGCGTGGGTAGAAGTACAAGCAGCATCAAGTAATTTACAAAATTTTCAAGGAATAGATCAACTAGGTGAACTTGCTACACAAATGAAATTGGTCTTAGATAGTACACGTAGAATGGAATTAAAACTCGATAACCAGGTTATGCAAATGGATTTATTAGAAAAAAAATCCTGTATTAATAATCAAGCTATTTTTGTTCTAGCAAATATTATGCAACAAATGATCAATGCATCGTTGGAAAAGAAAAATAAACAACTCCTATTACAAAAGATTGTTCAACAACTTGAAGATTTTAAAGATGATCTCAAAGTAAAATTTAATGCCCTCTCCATCGACATTGATCATCACCATCAACAACAACAACAATCAAAATCAACATTAGCAACATCACCTTCAATTCCTATTAGCAGAATTACAAATCAAACATCAACATCAACATCAACAACAACAACAATACCGATTAACAAAGGTAAAAACGTTCCGGTGGATTTTGAGCAGTCGATGGAAATAACTGATGACTAGTAACAGTAACAGTAATTTGTCCTTGTTAAATGTTCATGTTTCTCCTTTTTTTCCCTCTCACAGTTTTTCATATTGTTCATCCTCGATTGATGTAATAGGCACCGTGATTCAAAAGGTCATAGGTTGGGGTTTCTCTTCTAGTATATTACAACTGATAATTGAGATTATGAGTGAATGGTATTCAGGGAATACGCTAAATGGTATTCTTAATCTATGGGAAAAGAAAAAACCTCTGTCAGCATGTCAACAATTTCCTCTAAATGTTCTTGTATATAATGTTCAAGGGTGGGGAACAAGAGCCTTAGAATCAATGGAATTAATATTTAAATCGGATAGTTCTATCGGTATTTTTACAGAAGTTGGAGAACTGTGGAACAGTTTCAGTATTCCCCATTTTAATATGTTTTATCAGCGAGGTACAAATAGTAAAGGTGGTGTGGTGGTTGCGGTAGGAAAACATCTTAAAGCAACTCGAATTGATATAAAAACAGAGAACACTGTGATAGTGGATATTGATGGTTTAACTGAACCAGTTAGGGTGATCGGAGTTTATTGGCCTCACAGCCAAAATCGAAATCTAGATGAATTATCACCTTTCGTAACAGGAAGAACGGTTCTAGCTGGAGATTTTAATGCTTCAGTTTATGAATGGAATAGTCCTTCCACTGATGCAAGAGGTCTTCTGTTGAAAAGATGGATAGAGAAAATGAACTTGTTTTTTATATCTGGAACAAAAAATTCGTCTA